ATGGGGAAATGTGTAGCTAGCGATGGACATAACTTTGAATAAAGCACTTTTGATGTTTCTCTTGAAATTATTGTATTTTCTTTGATTACAAAATCTGCATTATTAATCGGTACACCTAGTAAGTAGATTTTGATGTGCATTCATATCTAACTGTACAACAATAATATCTAAATTCTACATTTGAATGATTCATACAGAAGCATGATTAACTTTATGATTCTTACAAATTCCTATGTAAGCGACACAGATTCCATTAATTCAAGAAAAAAATCCAACAAGAGCCTATCCACCAAATCCTACATAATAAAGAGGTAATATGCTAATTGACTGTTACACCCTCACAAGATGGTGATGCCCACAGCCACAAGATGGCAGGGCCCAGTCCCCTCAGCCCCGCCAGGGGGGGTGGCAGGCGCATGGCACAGCTGGTCCCGCCCACTGCCGGAGTCCCCCAGTCCCCTCAGCTCCGCCGACAGTGAATTTTCATGCGACCATTACCTTTTTAAAAAATCCTTGCGCAAGGATATGATTATTTTTTTTTAGATCGTCTGTTCTCGGGGAGCATGCCTAAGCCAGCAGGCAGGCATCCCCCAAGGGTCCCAGACTGTGAGAGGGTTCAGGCTGAGCTGAGGTACCCCTCATGTGCATGAATTTTCATGCACTGGGCCTCTAGTCACTATTATAAAAGAAAAAAATGAGTTGGCAAGCAGAGCTCTTTTCCTCTACAAAAAAATGTTAGTCACAAAAAATAAATGAGTAATTAAATAATGCAAAAACATCAAAATAGGCTGCAACCTTTATGAATTTTGGAATTTGTCTTATCCGTTTGTCCATAGGCAGTCCTAATTCTTTGATATGATATTAGCTAATTAGGAAGTGAAGAGGGAAATACAAGGTCACACTATTGTTCAATATTCTCCAGGTTATGCATACATATGTGCTTGGGAAATGAGTTCCCATGAATTCTGTGGTAGATCCTACCCAAACCAGCAACCAGATAGACTTGGGAAGTATCCAATGACAATGCTCCTAAGGAAGGCTGTGAGACAGAGAGTAATCACAATAGCTTTCCCTTTACCATACACTACATATTTAGTGCATAGTGAAGGAAGAGGATGAGTCTTCCTTTCTTCTAACACTTCTTACAAACAAAAACAAACAACAAAAAAACCCTTCAAATTGAGTCTAAGATTAGCATCATTGAAGTGCCTTATTTTAAGGTGTATTCCCAGGAGAAATGCATGTTTTAATACCTATGTGTGTCTTTGTCAAGCAGATATTGAAACTGACAATTGCATGCTGTCTTCCTACAACAGGGCACATTTTCCTTCTCTGCAGATGGCAAAAAGGGCTTTTGAAATCAGTCTCATCTAGGCAGAAGTCCAGCAGCTGAATTCCGTTATTAAAAAGTTTTGATGTCAAATTAATTTTTAGTCCATTTCCAATGCACTACATTCAGCTAGATCACTTATTTGGATACATGCAAAGTTAGTAGAGAACAGTATTTCCTAAGTGATCATTTGTCAAACTATCTGCAAGCACTCGCAACTTAATTTAAGTAATGGGCACTGGCAGTTTCTATGGAAAATGAAGAGGAAAAAGAGTAAGGGAAATCTCATTTTATCAAACATCCAACTAGACCAAGTATGTCAAACACATGCATTTTCATTTCACTAAAGAGAACAGGTTCAACAGAGCATTAAAGAACATATTACCACAGAGACAGGTCTATGCCAGCATATCAAATCAGGATACATCCAGGCTACCTTTCTGATTTATGGGTCCCTCAACATCCTTCTGCCAAGGTTGAGGCCCATGATAAGAGAGGCAGATTAATTCTAAAGGCATATGTCATCCTTCATCTTATCTCCCATTCTCTAACAATTATAAATGGGATACCAATGTTTAAGGGACAATCAAATTAAGAGCTATAAATACTGCAGGCATGATCTAGACCACAGTAAAACAAACCCAAATCAAGTATCCCATGTTCCCTAAAATACAAAAATTATGATGGCCTGCATGTATTACAGCACTTACTCCCCCTACCCCAAGAGCAGCAAATCCTTATTTTATATCCCTAGCTTCTGTGCCATTTATTCTTTGATTTACAGTGTTTATTTTTATAGGCATTCCACATTGTAAAATACCTTTGGTAACTGTCTGGGTACCTAACATTCATTCATTCATTTATTCATTTCTCAACAAAGAAATCTCCAGTTACTTCAGTTCAATAATATATGTATTTTGATTTAATATGGAATAAGAATGAACTGCTAGTCAGAATTATTGTTACTGCATTGCTCCACAAGGAAAGTTAACATTAGGAATCTGATGACAGTATTTCAGTACCTAAAATATACATTAAGCCCTGTGATACCACTGCATGGAAAACTAAAGCTAAATAGCACAGGTTTTAATTTCTTCAGACATCAGTATGAAAAGGGAGTTACTTGGACACATTTTAGGCTCTTAAAGATCATGGAGCATGTGTATGGGAGGAGAGTGCCTCTGTGAACATAATTATTTTTATTGGGGGGCCAGAAGTAGACATAATCTTTTTCCAAAATGTTCCTTTTCACTTCCTCAAAAGCAATTGTTGTAATAATGTATTGTCTTTCAAGTACCAAGGTGACACTATTGACCCAAGATCAGTAGGTTAAATGCTTTGAATTGCATATCCAGAAGTGAGAACAGTCTTTTCACCGATTCATTGACATGTGCAGACCCAGGAGCCTCTTGTGACCAGGGGCATGCATTTGTAAGGCCAGGACTGGGGTGATGGGTGCAGCCCGCAGCCAAATAATTGAATAAAGCTAAGCAGCTCACACTTGGGTCAAAACTATGACAACAGCCATGGCCTAAAAATATGGCCACAGATATATAACTAGCCATCAAGGTGTCTAATTAGTTTAGAGAAACACAGAGGATATAATTTTCCCTAAGGTTTACATTCCCGTGAAAGCAGGAGCTTAAAGGAACTCTGTCTGCTCCGATGTTATCTCAGTTGGCTTACAAGTGAGCCAGAAATAAGAAAATTCCTAACTTATAGCCTCTTCCACGGGAAAGATAGGTCAGATATCCAAAACTGTGACAGATAAGCACTCAGGAAGTAATCTGCGACTGCTTTGTCCACCCAGAGTCCGGTGAGACCAAGGATTTTTAAAATCGTGGCCCTCAGAATTCCATTGCTTAGTTTATTTCAGCAAGTATTTAATGAGTTCCTTTTTTTTCTTTTTTAATATGCCAAGTAGTATGTATACTATGCTATGTGTAGAGAACTTTAAGAAGGTCTGTGAGAAGATCACTGAACAGTGTATTTATAAGCTCCTTGATGAAGATGTATAAAAGCATGTGAGAGGCTCCAGAGGGGAGGCACTTGGAGAGGAGGCTATAAGGGTTAGACAGATGGAATGGGAACACAGTGGCTAGCTGAGGAGAAAACAAAAGCATTTAGGGAAGAAAGTTCATAATGAACAAAGACAGGGGGATGCAGAATAGCATCAAAATGTGGGAGCAGCTGAGGCTTCATGTACTTCATAATTAAAGTGTAAGCTCGGGGTTTTCTTTAAAGATTTTACATTTACCTTTGTTGTGAAATGATTCATTTTCCCTATGATTTTATTTCATTGAGGGTTAGTTTTAAAATGCAATCGCATTTCACGTATCTACAAATGAAGGTGAGTCCACATGTTTGCAGACAGAATAGGCAGGCGTTGTTATTAACAGTAGGATTGGGGGTTTTGTTATTGTTGCTTTAAAATGAATAATTCCAGAAATTCATGCAATGGAATACTATTCGGCTGCAAGTATAAACAGAGTGTATATACAGAGCCTATGGGGAGGTTTTGTGGAAGAATTAAAAAGCACTTCACCCAAAAGCTAGTACAGCTGACCCTTGAACAATGCAGGGGCTACGGGATACCCAGCTGGAAGTAGCCAAATTGAGCACTGAAGATTTGATCTGTGGTCTTCAAATGGAAGGAGTGGTTAATATTAAATAACATCTCAATAGTCTAGGCAATTGTGACTAATCCTATCTGCACTGAATGATGGTGCCAGAATTCAGAAATGCAAAGGACTGCCAGAAAAATCCCTGGTACTTATTTTAATTATGAAACAAATGTGAAATACTATAACATCATCAATGCTTTCAAATTTTATTTTAGAGAAATGGATATGCAAAATGTCTTAATGCAATGGAATATTATTCACCAATAAAAAAGGAATGAAATATTTAAACATGCCACTACATGGAAAAACATAGAAAATACAGGCTAAGTGAAAGAAGCTAGACACAGAAGGCCACAGATTGCATGATTTGGGAGGGTTGAGGGGAAAAAAGGAGCAACTGATTAATGGAGTGCAAAGTTTCTTTTGGGAGGGACAAATGGTTTCTAAAATTAAATGGTGGTAATTAGATTGTGGCTATCACACAACTCTATAAATACATGAAAAACTTTAGACAGGCAATTTGTATGGTATGTAAATTATATTTCAATATTGCTGTTATTTAAAATGCTGTTTTAGACCCCTGCAGCATAGGAAGGTGCTTTCCCTGTAATCTACTTACCAGTCTACCTCCTCTCCACCTCTTTTCTCATACTTGCCCCCAAATACGCCCATGGGATATGAAAATAACCTAAAGGATGCAATGAAGAAGCGGTCACTCAGACATTCAGGTCCACCTGAAAGAAGAAACGAGTTTAACAAAATGTTAAAAGAGCCACTTCCCAAAGAGAACAAGTTGCTTATACGCGGGAGACTAGCGCCTTTGGTGCAAAACAGAGAAAAGCGGCAGCATGCCAGCTCGTGAGCGGCAATCACAGCTTCCGTGAAACAAGGTACAGGCCACACTGCTCCATAAGGAAGTTCAAACGCTCGCTCACGCCGGCTCCCACGTCATTACGTCGAACGCCCTGCGACCCCTTGTGGATCCGTGGGCGACAGTTGGGGCTCCAGTGCACTTTCTCCCAAAGCCACCGCAGCCGCCTCCGAAAATGGATGCTCTCACCAAGGCCATAAGCAAACTCAACTTAAAGCTCCCCGAGGGCTTCCGCATCGAGGCCAGCAAGACGGAGCACATCCCCGGGAAGATGTTCATCGGGGGACTCTCCCGCAATACAAGTAAGGAAGCTCTTTTTGACTATTTGTCCCAATATGGCAAGATTATCGATTTCACTATTAAAACCCACCCAGAAACTGGAGTATCCCGGGGGTTCGGGTTTGTGCTTTTCGAAGATAAGGCGGCCGTTGAGAGGGTGCTGCAAGTCAAAGAGCACCAAGTGGAGGGGAGGAAATTTGAGCTTAGAAAGGCTCAGGCCATGGAACTGAAATTTCCTCCGAGAAAAGTTTTTGTGGGCGGGGTGAACCCTAAGACGCCAGAAGACAAAATTAGACAGTACTTTGGGACATTTGGGGAGATTGAGCATATTGAGCTGCCAGTTTGTCCGAAAACAAACAAAAGACGATCTTTCTGTTTTATCACCTATACTGACGAAATCCCGGTGAGGAAGCTGTTAGAAACCAGGTTCCATCTCCTGGGCTCCAGGCCGTGTGAAGTTAAAATTGCTGTTGTGAATGAAATTCCCAAGATGCCGCTGAGGAGAGGAAGAGACATTCCCTTTCCCAAGCTAGACAATGCCTCTGGGGGTGGAGAGCCCCCAACAAAGCCAAATGCTCCGGGGGCTGGCGGAGTCAACCAAAGTGTTTGCGGGGCCTGTGGAGTCGACCCGAATGCTCACGGGGTCATCAGAGTTGACTCAAATGCTTATGGGGCCGTGACAGTCGACCAGAATGCTAGCGGGGCCATCGCAGTCGACCAGAATGCTAGTGGGGCCATCGCAGTCGACCAGAATGCTAGCGGGGCCATCGCAGTCGACCAGAATGCTAGTGGGGCCATCGCAGTCGACCAGAATGCTAGCGGGGCCATCGCAGTTGACCCAAATGCTTGTGGGGCCATCAGAGTCAACCCAAATGTATATGGGGCCGTGGCAGTCGACCCAAATGTATATGGGGCCGTGGCAGTCAACCCAAATGTATATGGGGCCGTGGCAGTCAACCCAAATGTATATGGGGCCGTGGCAGTCAACCCAAATGTATATGGGGCTGTGGCAGTTGACCCAAATGTTTATGGGGCTGTGGCAGTCGACCCAAATGTTTATGGAGCCTTCAGAGTCAACCGAGGTGTTTACAGGGCGAGTGGAGATATGGGCAATCCTAGCATGGTGCTTGCTCCCGTTCACATCTCGCCCTGCAACCAAGGCTATAATTATTCTGATCAAGCATATGGCCCCTTCTACAATGCCTACAGTAACCAGCCCATTTTTAATAGCTACAACGGCAGAGAGCATTTTGTTGGATGTAACTATGGGACTCAACCCATAGGAACTGCACTTGCTAATTACAATGTTCAACTAAACCAGGTGCCTGTCTTCAGTACTGGTTACCAGGGAATTTACCAGCCTTTCTGAGGACAAAGGATGAAGCCAGCATTGCAGAACCAATCTGACAACTTCCAGTGAAAAGTTATGTTACTGATAAAAAATTAATGACTGTTTTGAAAAGACACTGTCACTGTTCTACAGCTTTTTCCAGTTTTTTTTATAAGAGGCAGTTATTTTCCCATGGTCTTTTGACATTGGAGTGAAGACCAGATAATACAAGTAGTTTTTAGTTTTATGAAAGTTAACCTCTCAAAAATAAATGTTTACTATTAATAGCTTTACAGAAAACTCTGTAGTGGTTTCTATTTGGAGTTGGTGCTTTTTTTGTGGGGGTGTTTTGGGGTGTGTGAGGTTGTGGCTGCCTTTTTGGCCCATTATGAACTTTTTCTTGATGGGGTGGGAGTCTTGGGTGGTTTGGTTTAAAGCTATCATCCAGATTCAGAGGAAAAAAAATCTTAAATTTCCCTTTAGATTTGCTATTCAGACAGGTCCTTCTTGTATATTTGTTCAGCAAAAATTAAGACTTATGCTAAACCAGAAACTATGTTCAATTCAAGAAAGTCAGAAAGGGTCAGTCCCAGTCTTAAAAGAGGCAGAAGTAAACTAACAAATATAATATAGTGTGTGTGTGTGTGTGTGTGTGTGTGTGTGTGTGGGTGGGGGGGGGTCCTATATAAAGCTTTGTTCAGGATAACGTGGTATTATAGACACAGGGGATCTAAAATAGGGTTTGGGAGGGAGTAGTCTTAGGTGGAATGCAGTAGATTGGCCTTTGCCAATGGACTATGCTAAGGAGAGTGCAGTATGCCAGGCAGAGCTATAAAGGTATTAAAGCAGGAATTTAGTATGTGCTTTTGGAACACAGAAAAGAGACTTTTTAAAGGGTGGAAACAAAGTGCATGTGGAAACTAAGGGGAAGGAGGTAGACAGGGGGCTTGAGCATCTGTCAACAAAAATATGAGTCATATATGCAAACCATATATGTAATTTAAATTTTTCTAGTAACCATATTTTTAAAAAGCAAAAATAAGATGAAAATTATTTTAATAAAATGTATTTAACCAAAATGTCATTTCAACATGTCATCAAGATAATAATAATTATTAATGGGTCCTTTTTACATCATTGCTTTCATACTAGTCACCGAAATCTAATGTGTATTTTACTTTTAAGCACATCTCAGTCCAGACTAGTTACATTTCAAGTGCTCAAAATACGTAGCAGTAGCTATTACACAGGACAGTGCAGACTTAAATCACAAAGGGCTTACCTAATGTGCTGAGGGGTTGAATTCTATCTTTAAGGCAATAAGGAGAAATTAAAGGACCTAAAACAGGGAGTGACATGAAACAGCAAACATCTACCACATGCCTGACACTGATCTCAATGCTTGGATTGGAAAATCAATGAGACTCAATCTCTGACTTCAGGCAATTCACTGGCAAGTAGGAAAGACAGACATGAAACCACGATCCTGGTGGGACTAAATTTAAAATGTGAGGAAAGTCAATTTTACTTAGAATAGTATGTACTTATTTCCTTATTAGAATACAGATATCTTCAGGTCAAAAAATATTTCACTCCTTTTTGTATTTTCCCTAACATCTAGCAAGGACTCTTGCACATAATAGGAACTATAAAAATATATTAAATGATGACACAGGAGCAAAACTGACAAGAATATTACCATTACAAACAAGAGAAAAAGAAGGCAGCAACATAAAACATGAGGTAATTCTTTTCAGTTTTAATAGCAAATGATTGTTATTTAAATACTAATGACCCAGTGCATGAAATTCATGCACATTACAAGGGAATTAATTAGAGGAAATATTTTAATATTGCTATTTGCCCTTTCTCTATAATAGAAGTGTCAGAGATGAAAGAAAATTAGTAAAGTGTATATGAAAATCTTCCTCCTGTCAGAGTCTGGGGTGTGCCACGAGAACCAGAGTCAAGTTCCTGCCCACCCACATGCACCTTGAAATCATGCAAGACCCAGACCCAGCTGGCCCCACCCCCATTGGGCTAGATCCAGACCCAGCCGGCCCCACCCCTGTCAAGTCCCGCTGGGTGGGGGGCACAGCCTCAGGTCACCTGGCCCGGTGCCAGGGCAGGGGGCACGGCCTGAGGTCCCCCGGCCCGGGACAGGGGGTGCACCTTGAGGACCCCTAGCCAGGGCAGGGTGCATGGCCTGAGGTCCCCCAGCCCAGGCTAGGGCAGGGGCACGCCTTGAGGTCTCCATCAAGCTCTGCTGGGCAGGGGGCGTGGCCTCAGGTTCCCTGGCTTGGCACCAGGGCTGAGGGTGCGGCCTCAGGTCCCCCAAGACCGAGCAAGGGCGGGAGGCTCAGCTTGAGGTTCCCCATCAAGCCCTGTGGGTGGGGGGCATGGCCTGAGGTCCCCTGTCAAGCCCCAGGGGTTGGGGGCATGGCCTGAGGTCCCCCAGCCCAGGCCAGGGCAGGGGCACACCTTGAGGTCCCTGTCAAGCTCTGCATGGCAGGGGGAGTGGCCTCAGGTCCCCCGGCCTGGCACTGGGGTGGAGGGCACAGCCTGAGGTCCCTGGTCAAGCCCTGCATGGAAGGGGGCACAGCCTCAGGTCCTCTGGCCTGGTGCCAGGGTGGGAGGCATGGCCTGAGGTCCCCCAGCCCGGCACCAGGGTGGAGGGCACAGCCTGAGGTCCCCAGTGAAGCCTCGGTGGGCGGGGGAGGGGGTGCACCCTGAGGTCTCCCGTCAAGCCCTGCCAGGCGGGGGATATGGCCTGAAGTCCCCCGTCAAGCTCCACTGGGCGGGGGACGCGGCCTGAGGTCCCCCGTCAAGCCCTGCCAGGCAGAGGGCACAGCCTGAGATTCCCTCAGCCTGGCACCGGGGTGGGAGGTGTGGTCTGAGGTCCCCTGTCAAGCCCCACCAGGCGGGGGGGGGGGGGGGCGCAGCCTCAGGTCCACTGCCTGGCCCAGCACCACACAGCCTCAGGTCCCTGCTGATTGTTCGTTAAGGCTCGTTAAGGGAACTCAGCCTCCACTGTGGGTGAGGCCATCTTGTGTTACGGAATCCCTGCTTCCGCTGTGGGCGCAGCCATCTTGACCTTTACGGTGTGATGGTCATTTTGCATATTCCCTCTTTATTAGATAAGATGAGTAAGTTGTATTGCTTTGATGGTGGGGGAATTTTCAATATATAATATGTAAATATACTTCATTAAAATATTGAGATTAAATTGAATACTATATGTTAAACTGCACTGAAAAGTTTAAATGACTGTACAGAAATCAGGGGTTAAACACACACATGTACACACACACACCAGAAGAGTCTTGCAATGGATATTTTGATGCCCTTTGAGACTGAAAGTATATTAAGTGTATATCGAACCTCAGTTTAAAAATAACAAGGGATTGCCCTAGCTGGTTTGGCTCAATGGACAGTGTGTCAGCCTGTGGACTGAAGGGTCCCGCGTTCGATTCCGGTCAAGGGCACATGCCTGGGTTGTGGGCTCAATCCCCAGTGTGGGGTGTGCAGGAGGCAGCCAACCAATGATTTTCTCTCATCATTGATGTTTCTACCTCTCTCTCCCCGCATCTCCCTTCCTCTCTAAAATCAATAAAAAATATATTTAAAAAAATAATGGGATCAATCAACTGAGCTAATTTAACTTTTGTTCCACATAATGTTTTCTTATTCAAAAACTACAAAATAGATATGCGGTGTTGCCACAAAGTAAAGGAGAATCCCCAGGTAAAAGAACACAAAAATGCATAAATTAAATGGTATTACACAATAGTCAATACAGTTGAAATAATGTGTATGTCTGTCTGTATATAGGTATTCAGAACAAATGATGAACATACAGATTAATCCAACAGAAAGTATTTAGGAGGAATTGGCTTTCATTTACCAGAGTTAATCAACTTTCATTTACCAGAGTTAACTAGATGAATCAAGGTTGTTTTGATTAAGAGCTTCTGTTCCTGCTCCCCCTGAGAATCAACTTGTCCACTAAACAGGACAAAATATAGCAATATCCACATTTGGCTGTTTGAACTAAGGAATTAAACTGAAATTTCAGCCAATTCAGAATCAGTGTGGCAGATGTTTTGATATTTCAGTTTTGCTCTATATTGATATTTCAGTTTTAGAAATGGTGTAAGTTTATTTTTTCCAGTTCCAGCTGGTTCATTTGTTGATTTAGATTTTAAAAATCAGTGGAAAGAAAGGACAGTTTGGTTCAGATTTGAGCCTATTAGATAAATCCAGCAAATCAGCTTAAATTCATTATTTTTCTTTGGGGGAGGGGGATTCATGATTAGTTCAAGGATCTTATTTTGCTCTTATTTTAGTTGTTAGAAGTTAGGTTATGCAATATTGGAGGTGTTGTGTCAGGTAAACTTTCTCATCAGAGTGGTCCAATTACCACTCAGACAGCTATGTATGTGTTTATGTATATGTTTGTGCTTACATGCTAGCTTAAAAACTAAACCAAAAAAGATGTGAATGTCTGAATTCAAAGATAATGGCAGGTCATATTTTCATTTATATTTCCCTAAAGTCTGGAGTGACTATAGAAATGCTTATTCTATATAATAAAGAGCTAATATGCAAATGGTCCTCACGCCCTCATGCCATCATGCCGTAATGGCTCAGACACTCAACACTGGGGAGAGAGAAATGGGGACCAGCCAGGCACAAATGAGCTTGAGAGAGAAGAATGGGGACCATCCAGACACAAATGAGAGGAATGGGGACTAGCCAGGCTGTGGCCTGGGAGAGGGCCAAGCCACCCACCCCATGGTGCCGGGCGCCAGCAGCTGGGGCTGCGGCCCAGGAGAGGGACAAGCCACCTGCCCTGCAGTCCCAGGTTCCAGTGGCTGCACCTGTGCCTGTGGCCTGGGGGATGGACAAGCCACCTGCCCCATGGTCCCTGAGGTCCCAGGCACCAGCGGCAGGGCCTGTGGCCCGAGAGAGGGACAAACCGCCCACCCTGCAGTCACGGGAGCTAGCAGCTGCACCTGTGCCTGCAGCCTGGGAGAGGT